GGAACAAACCATAAACATATATAATAAATATGGAATCAGGCATGACATACCCACTCATAAGAACCCTCTTGTGATCCATCCAGAATAGTGACCCCATCTAATTTCAAGGTAGTTTTAACTTTCAGAAGTTCCGTAACCTTAAGTTTAAGTTTGAAAAATTGTTAGCGCAAGAAAACAATAGATTAAAACTAAAGAATGGAAGCACCATGCTTAAGAAAAGAATTACAGCTTGCAAAATTTTATCAGATGCATCTCCTTCTAATGCCCTCAAACCAGCAGTTGCCTAAAAGAAATAAAAATAAAAATCACATTTCATCATTATATGAAAGAAACTAATAAAAGAGTGCAGAATGCATCTTGAATTCTTGATTTACCCACCCCAACTCTGACTGGAGTCCTTGATCGTAAATTGAGTGGCACAACACTTACTGCCTTCGCAAGAAGTGTAAGCAGGGAGTCTGCTCCAGCACGTGGATCCTTTGCGTAAAAGCTCAATCCTGGTTTGATCTATAACAGCAACCAATCAACAAATAAAGGACTATACTAAATGAAATATGATAAATAGACATCATATACTCTCACAGACCTCTTGCATTGTTTAATTAGCATCAGAACTACGAGTCCCCGCCACTCCCCCCCGCCCCCCTTTCTACATCAAATTCAAGTCAATTCCAACTTGAAAGAAAATAAAGAATGATTACTTCGGAACATTGATTTTTCTACAATACTAAAGTATAGCAGACGATGATTCTATTTCAGAATGTCCAGCAATTGAATTGAAGACTACAATATTGTAATCACTTGCAATTTCAAGAACCGTAAGAATACCTGCTCGAAAAGCTCCAGATCAGAGCCAATGGGAAGAAGATCCAAATTGTGGTCGAAACAGAAGACGTGCACCCTACTCCCAGAACTCCCTGCATCAAAGATAACTGCATAGCTCCTGTTCCCGGGAGGGAACGGTGCGAATTTTCGGTTATCGGTCTCGAACTTCCCCCCCAGGTAATCGATCTCGATCTCCTGCCTCAAATCCGACGTTGACCCGCCGGGCATGACGAAGAGCACAAAGGTGATAAGCAAAATAGGCACCGAGATCACAAGCAACATCCCCCGATACCTACGGATCTTATCAGAAAGAGACTCGTGCCTGCTCACGTACCGTTTGTTCATCTTATCAATCTCCCCGGTCGGCGATGGGTTAGTAGCAGTGGAACTACTGGACCCGGTCTCAATGAGCTCCGCCGAGGATGGTGTTCGGTACCGGATCTGGCCGTTGCCAGTGGAGGACGCGGAGGGCTTGAGGGACTGTGCAGTACTCTGGAAGGGCTCCAGGTCGTCGGATTTGCTTCTTCTGGGTTTTATGGGAATGGAGGAAGGAATTGATGGGTGATTGAGAATTTTGGGGAAACGTTGATCATGTGAAGGGAGTGACAGATAATGAAAGGAGGTTGAAGGAGATTTAAGCTAAGTCAGGGGTTTTCGGTTTGCTTCAGAAACAGGAAAATGTGAGGAGTATGGATGTTGAGTGTGTAGGTGCTACGCGGTTTCTGATTTCTTACTTTTCTTTTCTTTTCTTTTTAAATTTTAAGTTATATAATAAAATATAATTTTTTTATTTATTTTTTAACCCACGAATATCTCATGCAATTAAATTTAATATTTCTTCTTCTTTTTTTTCTCTTTTTTTTTTTTGACCATTTTGATGTTGCGATTGAAGTTTATTTCTTCTCAATTCTTTGAGAAAACACATTTTGAGAATTGCATGGTAATATAGTGGAAGAGCAACCATAACGAAATTGAACTGTCTTTTTGGCATAAGTTCACGGATTCATGCCGTTGCTGTCCTCTTTGATCAGTCCATTTGTGGAAGGCCGAGTGTGTTGTGCTATATTATTGTCTTACAAAGACGGAAAGCATAGCTTCTCTGGTGCTTTTTTCCTTTCTACTTTGCATTGCTATCTTCGTTTTCCCATATGGCTCATTTGTTGCAGGAGATGTGGGGATTAATTAATATCTTGGTGTTGCAATCCTCTTGGAACTCCCAAGTCCCAACCCTTTCAGCAACACTAGTCTTCTCTCTGTCTAGAGTGGGTCAATCGATAATGCTTTTAGGCTACTTGGACGAGAGGAGGATGAGAATCATGCCTCACTTTTATTTTCCATTGTGGCTACAGACTTTGCATCCAATACCGGTTGTGTTTCCAACAAGTTGCCTATCTTCATCTGTCTGCTTGGTTGGTGTCTTCCCTGTTTAGTTTAGTGTCTGTTTATGTTATTTTTGTGATGTGCTGGCCTTGTATTGAACTTGTTATATTCTAATATAATTAGCTCTTTTTTTAGCCAAAAAAAAATGTAAATTTATAATATATGGAAGGCCAACTTTGGAATTGGCCTTACACCTCATGTTCTACGGTTACGACGCTAGTTAGTGTTTTCATTTCCAC